TCATTTGTGGTTGTCTATGCTTATGTCCATGGCACCCGCGACACAGGGCTTCCCTAGTGCGCGAGTATGTTGAGTGTGTGCGTTATTATTATTATTATAACACAACATCTTTTTGTACATCCAGACGCCCGCCGCTGACACGTATAGCACCACAGTGTCCGCGGACGTAGACGGCAACGTCTACAACTACGACCAGCTCATTGTCTACTCCAAGTCGCATCCCGTCATCGATATCAAGTCCAAGTGCCCCAATTCTAAACCTAGCAGGTACTTTTACTTTCAACTATAAAATGTTTATACAGAGTGTAAATTTTAAACTTGTTACATTTTGGCCGCCGAGATAATGCGTTGTGGTTACAGTTAAAGTCATTAAAATTCAAATCGTCTTTAATCAGAATATTTTAGATCCGTATTTCGCAGATTAGATAGTGGATAATTTGTGAATATACAAAAATGTAAGAACATCATGGTAGATAAATTATCATGATATCCATTTAATAAAATAAATATTACGTACCATAAATTCAATGTAATTAGTCACTTGGTCACATCATTTGTCAATTCATAAATCATAGGAACAAAACTAAAATAAACAGTAATATACGTTTATTTTTTCAGAATCTACCTCAAGGCCGATACTCTAAGCTCCAACCACGGAAAGTTTGAAACTAAAGTGGAGAACGTTCGCGACATTTCCATCGACGCGAATGGTGAAGCTAATATCCAGAAAGACAACGTTGCTTTCAAACTCTTCCTCAATTCTGATAAACTTGGTGTCAAGAACTACAAGATCGACATTACAAGCAAGGACGCTGATAACGGCAAGCGGTTGGAATTTCACGCAACTAATGATGGCAAGAATATGCTTAGTGGAAGGTAAGATTTCGTTAGCTTGTACTTGTTAACGTAACACAATTTTAAATAACTAATTGTTCATTTGAATGGTCGTACACTATAGTATATTGCCATTTATTTTTATTTGAAAATAGTATTTTATGTAATCATTGCTTAATGAGGGTTCTTAAAGACGAGTGTAGAATGTTTGGGTAGTGCCATATCTGATATTTTATATTGTTTTTAAATAGTTTTTTTTTGCCAAATAGTTACGTCTTTGTACCTGTTATGTAACATTTTGAGATGTTATTTAATATAATAATTTGAATTTTAACAATTTCACAAATATAGTGGCGGCATTTGATTCAGGAACACAGTGAGTTTTAATTAGCAAAAAGACGTTTTTTTTAGACAACAGAATTTTTGTTCAGAACAAAAGAGCGCCTTTGTGATATAGTCTAATAAATTATAAGTAATATACAGATTAAAGTACAAGAGTAAAATAATGTATTTCAGAGATCTGTCTACGATATATTTGGGTACAACTAAAAATCAGTAAAAATTAATACTAGACTAATGGACAATTCACAAATATAAGTCGAATTTTTGCTCCACATGTTTCGACCCTCTCTGTGTGCCTTAATGCTTGAGCCGCAGAAACCCATGATTAAGAACCATCGACTGATTAGAAATTAAATATGACGTTTGAGTATCTCGGCAGTTTTTTTATTTAAAATAAATACCTTCAACATTTAGATTTACACCACGAAATTGCTTCTTCTTATGTCAATGTTAATTATGAAATTTCTCCGCACCAGCACCTCGTTCATTAGCAAGCACGAGGGCCCGAAAACTATCATCGAGGGCTCTGGCTCTGTGAAGGTCAAGAACGAGCAGAAGTCCGCCAACTTCAAGTACATCAGCACGCAGCTCACTGACGGCAACGAACAAGGCATTGAGGTAGTTAAAAGCATTCCTTTTCAAACACCCCGTCACTGAGCTTGCCCTGAATCCAATTAAGTTTATACTTATAGATCGAACTTTGACTTCGAATAAGCAAAGATGGCGAGCTAAGAAAATTTTCCGTATTTCGGTCATTCTCACATTCGGTGTTCCTAGCCTAATTACTAATATTACTACCTAATAATATTTAAAAAAGTACGTTTTAACGTTTCAAATTAATAAGCACTTTTTCCATCTCTAGTAATAACAGTGTGTTCATAATATATTCCAAAAGTTTTGTAAATCTTATCAGCTCTATTATTTAGAGCAATTAATAATAAATTAATCTGTTTATAGAAATGAAACTATTTTCTCGGATCCAAATCACGAGTATTTACTTTTTCGTTTGAAAAAAAAAAAAATTGGAATGTTCTTTGAAAATACAAAGGTATTTAATTCATAATTTTTGTCAGTATAGTGAAAAATAGCATTAATATTAGACGTAACTGGTTAATGACTTTTCCACCTCAATCAACCGTGACCATGAGACCTGTAAAGGGCTTGGTTTGTTTGAAAAAACAAATATACGCAATTTTGTTCCAAAAAATAATTTCATTGGAAACCTAAAAACTCAGTAATCTGTATAATATGAGCCGAAAAGACACTAAGGTGCAAATTTAGATCAGCTATTGTATAATACATATCACCAGAAGAAACCTTTGCCCGACTAAAATATCCTACTAATTTGACATACTAGGAGACTTAACTTTCACTACAATTTGCAGGAATTTGTAAATCTGGCAATCGGCGGCAGCAGCTACGTGGCGGAACGCCGCATCACCAACCTCGAGTACAAAACCTCCTACGCCTACTGCGAGGAGAAAAAACAGTGCGCTAGCGCTGAATTGCAGTCCAAGATCAACGTACCTAGTTAGTATTGACATCTCGTTGTATGAAAGTGCAAACAAAATTGTCCTAACTTACGTCTACTTTTATTTGACTGTTAACCAAATAAACCACTCTAGCGCTCGGGGAAATGACATAAAAATTACCAAATTCTCCTTTGATTGATCCCAGAATCTTTCGGAATACTTGAATACTTTCGTTCTGCCATTAATAATTCACGTTCTTCTTTCAGCGTCATAGATAACTTTAAACTTATTCTTCCTGCCCTCAGAACCTGGCAGTACAGATCCCCTGCAGCACCTATTGAACGTCGTATTCGACCTCCGCAAGCTCGGAGTGGCCCCTGAATTCGGGTTGCAGATCATCAACGAGGTCTCCGAGAAGCGTCTGCCGCAGTACAGTCTGGACCTGCATATCAACAAGGACGATAAGAAGTATTCCCTTCATGCCTACAGTCATCCTGAATATGGCAGTGAGTATTTTCACCACCATTATCATATTAAGTGAGGTTATTAATATTCTTCTATTATATTACATACTATATCAGCAATACTCAAGTATCACTGCCTTTAAAAAAAGTATTTAAAGTTTAAGTTAAATACTAAAAACAAGGATCTCTAACATACATAACATAGAAAAATTCCTAAGGTCCGTTGTATCGTTCGGTAGCTCGGTTGGGAGAACGTCAGGCATGATATGCTGAAGGCGCTGGTTCGTATCTAGCCAGATCAAAATAATTTTTCTCAGTGTTTGGTCTTTGTATTAATATTTAATAGCATTTCTTTTAAGTGCCACTGTCACAGTAGAAACCTACCTTCAGAACATTTATTCCCAGATAGGTACACACACGAGGTGTGGAGATATAGTTTTAATCCATTTCATTTGTCGCTTTGAATTTCGTATTTAATTACTAACCTACTGTAACTTAATTTAATTTATTTAATTACTAACCTACGGTGACTATAGTAACCGGAAACCAAATACTATAATATTTACCTATTCAACCCTTTCCACAGAATTCCCAGCCGGCATCACAGTGACCCTACCCCAGCGAGTGCTAGCCCTAGAATCTCTTGTCACTTACCCAACGAACAAAGCTCTTCCATTCCCCATTAAGGGAGAAGTAGCTCTCCACCTGGACAAGAACAAGCCGCAAACCAAGACAGCTGCCAGGTTTATGGTCGATTTCGCCGACAACAAGCAGCAGCGTAACGCCGTCGCTGAAATTGGATTCAGCCATCCTAAACTAGGCAGGGTTAGTTTGAACTTTATAATTCACGCCCTTGATGCAATTAAGCCATATCTGTAAAATGGTAACTTTTCGGGAGAGAGGTTTAAAGACTTCTTTTTCTTCTTCCAGTATCACACGTTAGTTGGGGTCGGTAAAACATGTATTTTTCTTCCACTCTCCTCTATTCGCCGTCGAACCGAACGCTTTGCCACGCCCCCTGAATCCCGTTACAATTTGATATTAAAAACGATACATTATAGTATAAAATGTATTTTTATTTTTTAGTTTTGTCACTTCTGCAAAAAGGTTATTGTTAGAACTTGATCACTTTATTATTAAGAGTGCGTTATGCAGTGGTACATAGTACTCGTTCTGAAGTCTGATATAGAGGTATATATCTAATAAATAAACTTATCTTGTTTTGCACAGGAGGCCCTGCTGAAGTTCCGTGGTAACTTGGCCCAAACCAACGAAAACACCTTCAAAGTTGAATACTTCGCTGTAGCCAGCCATCCCACTCTTGGAAAAGTAAGTGTCTTATATTTCTTGAATATTCTATTGATTACGATGATAAAATTCAATATTACAATGCATAAAGCGACGTCTCTTGTCAACCTCTCGGAGCTATAACCTACCTGTTTGAAAGAAGAAAATCTTTCATAAATTTCTTACAGGTGGCGCTACCGCAAAAACGCCGTTAAAATTAAAAACAATGATCTACAACAAACACAATACATAGAGAAATTCGTAACCTTATTTGTCTTTGATATTTTTGCGCGAGATTCGTACAGTAAATAGACAATTTTAACGTTTTGATTTGTTTACATAGGACCGTGAAGCCAAGCTGTTCTTGGAAGTCAACCCAGTTCATATCAAGTTATTGGTAAGTTTGAGAGCTGTGGATAGATGGCGTTAATAATAGATGTGTCAACAGCACTGTAACTTCGGTTCTGTGTGATGCTTTTTTGCTTGTTAGCCAATCTAGAACGCTACTAATATAGTTGCAAATGAATTAATATCTGAAGCAACTACCGACTATGGAATAAAATTGACTTTAAAATATTACTTTTTGATACAGATCGAGAATCCGTTCCTGAAAGTTATCGACTTGGAAGGCTCAGTTGTTGTGAAGGACAACCTACAACAGGGAGACCTCAAATTCGCTCTGCTAGAAAGCAAACCCGTAACCGTGCACACCATAGTCAAGGACTTTACTTACTATGAATTCACTGTTGGTAAGTTTTACGTTCTAAAGATGGAAACGGATTTCCCTGAAAGGAAAGTTTTAAGCCAAAGTCTATGGAGAAAAGGGTTTTGTGACTTGTCTTCTATACCAAAATACAGTGTGTTGATTTGCATTCATTGAGATGTATAACACATCAGTGACAAATTTATACCTCCACCAGATGAACACGATCATAAGCTATCGGTCATCGGACACTTACAACCCGAGCAACGTGTGGATATCAGCGCAGACATCTTCGTGAAGAATGAGAAGAAGAATATTGCATTCGGCGCCCTCTATTTGAAGGATAACCTCGTTAAAAGTGACTACGGACTTTCTAAGGATAACTTAAAGTACTTCACGGTAAGTTGCATATACTTTATGCAAACCCTAAACTTTCATTACAATTTCCACTACTTAAATAAATGCCGAACACGCAGCACATTGTGTAATACCATAGACAATGAGAAGAAAATAGCAGTTACAAATGAACGTCCCAAACTAATGATAACTTCCTATCCAGACTGCGCTCCAAAGCGAGCTGTCATCACTAAAGCAACATGTGGAACAGCTCGGAGAAAAGGCCAGCCAAGATGTTAAGAGCACGCTCAAGCAAGTTGAGCCCAAATTCAAGGAGTTGCAGAAGGCTTACGTTGAGGAAATCGAAAAGGTGTACAAGGAGCTCGCCAACGATAAGGTGTTGAAGGAGATTTCTGAAGGCTTGTGAGTAACAGATCTGTATTTTACAAACGTCACAGTATGATTAGTGGAACCAAAAGTTTTGAGATCCAAATCTAGGGATTTAGGCTAAGTTTTAGTGTAGCTTTAAGCCATAGACTTTTTTGATGTCCTAAATATCAAAAGATTGCAAAACCTTGTAGCTATAATCAATAATTGAACTATTGTTATTGAAGTTGAAAATAAACCGACCGTGATCATTTCTGCAGATACCAAATCGTCACGTACTTCGCGAAATTCATCGACAGCATCATGCAAGTGACCAAGCCCGTTATCGACCAGATTGTGAACACTGTCCAGGAAACCGCCAAGAAGGGACTCGAACTTTTTGAGAAACAGGTGAGAAATAGCTATATCTCCGAAAGTACCTTTGTGCTTTTAAAAGTCGTCTGTCTGTTTGAAGATTTCGTTGTCACACTTCGACATAAATTTATATTTATTATAATAATTTTGAATCCCTATTGGTTCCTTGCAGTAATCATTGTAATAGGTTCTTACTTAACGCAGAGATGTAAGGATGCTTAGACTTTTTTTACACCAATCTTCGAATTCTTCTGAATGTCTTCCTGGATATTACTTCTATCAAACCCATATATTTCCTCAGGTCGAGCCTCAACTTAAGCAGCTGTATGCGAACATCGCCGCTGTACTGCAGGAATACTTCGAGGGTCTTTTGGACATCGTCGCCCACTTCGCCGCTCTCGTTCAAGACTTCTTCGATAAGCACAAGCCCGAGCTGCAGGAGCTCACTAACACGTTCGCTGAGATTTTCAAAGGCGAGTATTATTTTTGGATTATTACGATAAAAATGACAAGGATTGTAAACAGTCTTGGGAAATTCGCACAATTGTTTTACTCTGTTGAGTGTGTGCGTTATTATTATTATTATTATTACTCTTGACAAAATAACTTTATTGTAATGATTGTTCTAAATATGGATTGCCGTTCATTGTTTAGACCTGACCCGACTGTTGGTCGCACAGCTGAAGGAATTCCGCGCCAAAGTTGGACAGATTGCTCCCGAGATAATACAACAGATCAAGGAACTGCCCATCATCAATCTTATCAAGGAAAAGGTTTGTATCCAACTATTATTAGACTTCAGTTACTATAGTGCTTATTTCCATGTTAGAAGCTTATAGAATTTAATTAAATTAAAATGTCGAGTCGTCAAATTTTTACGAATTCTACAGCCGTGACCATGGCACCAGTAAAGAGCCCGAAATGTTGGTTTATTAAAAAATGCACGATTTTAGATCAGAAAAAATACCTTCATTCCCAATATTTCTGCTTGTTCGCAATTTTGGCACCCAACACGGAACCTCTTTAATTTCGTAGACAACCTTTTTTATGTTTCCTATACACATTTAAGTACATTTTATAGATTGCCTAATAAAAAATAGAATAGTGAAAAAATAGTCATGTTTTCCGTTCTCAGTACCAAGAGCTGGCCATCCCCGAGCAAGCATTGGGTCTGCTGGAGGAGGGTCACAACACTGTTCGCGAGCTGCTGCCCACAGAAGAGACGAAGAAATTCGCTGACGCATTTGTCAACTACGTTTTGAAGGTATCTCAACTGACCTTACATTGTTTTAGCATTGTTTAACGATTGTGCTAACCCTATTAATTTTGATAGAAAAATATCAAAACAAGCCCTTGTTTATTGTCCCTTGAAAATGTATATTTAAATACGTAGGGTACCGCTGTGAGTGGCACCCAGTACGACAATCGTTTCCAAAGAGAGCCAATTTTATTCTACCACTAAGATATCACTCATAAAAAATCATAAAGTTATTACTTAAATATATTAACACATTGATAGCGCGATAAAGAATCCTAGTCGTGCCATCTAGCATTCATAGCATAGCTGCTGGCTGAGTGAAGAAATAGATTTCTCATAGATGGCGCTAGATTATTCCATAGGTAAAATAAATTTACACTTGAAAACGTCACATTTAAGCTACTGCTCGTTCACTACGCTGACCTCCCTGAGAAGAACGAGCAAGAAACTCTAGGGATTGCTCTTTGCAAATAAACTTAAATGCTATGGAATACACTTTGAATCAAATTTGTATGGAATCTAGAGCCATGTGGACTTTCCATACATCTTCATCCAACACGTAGTCTCCAAATTTGTCATATGACTTTTGAATCAAAATATTTTTAATGCAGTTTATAAACTTAGGAAATGATAATCTTAACATATGCTCCGGAATATTGTTGTAAAATATCAAAACAAAAATCAGCAACAAGCACATGGAAAATTCATAAGGTCGTTATGTTTCGTGACTTACGTTTGCTATCTCTGAGCTCTATGTATTATAAATTATAAAAACCATTGACTTACAAATAAATGGACGACGGGTCTAATACAAAAACCACGAAAAAAATGTCCCAAGTCAACCTATTTAAATGTAGTGACATGTAAAGGAATATGAAAAAGCTAAAACGTTGAATTTAAATTGTAATGTCATCGCAGTACTGTCTAATTTTGCTTGCTTCGCTGTCAGTCGAACAAACGAAGACTAAAGCGTGAATGACGCTCTGTATACGATTTTAACGCCCTATAAGTTCGGACACTTTTTAGCGCGGACCCGACGTCCATATAACTGTAAGTCAATGATAAAAACTACAAAAAATATTTCAATACCATTGTGGTGAAACATCCTTTAATATCATAACATTCAATAACTTCATTACAATACGTTTTATTTCATAATTCATCAAAAACACCTTCGTTACTAATGAAATAATTTCCCTACTAGAAACTCCGTCAAGAGAAAGTGGACGACTCAGCTGAACTGCGCAGAGTATACGAGAAGTTCACCGTGGCTCTCACGTCACTGGTCAATCATGTAAGACAGCAGCTCGGAGGCGTCGCTGGACCGGCCTTCCTGAACATCAATACTGTGAGTGTCCTGTAATTTAGGAAACCTTGACACACAGCGCACCATACCACCTTTAGAAAGGCATCTACCTTGTATGTATTCTTGTTCTTTTTGAGACGAAATAAAAATACGTTTCTTTTCGTTTTCACACATAATTACCTGCCTCCGTGGCCGATGAATGGTTATCATGATGATCTGCTACGCAGAAGTCCCGGGTTCGATTCCCGAACCAGGAGAAACATTTGTATGGCTTACATTGATTTCTCTTGTTAGTTTGTGTGTAATTGTTATTGTTGTCTATGTGTGTGTCCATGGAACCCGCGATACAGGGTTTCCCTAGTTTTTTTTTCTTTGAGTGTGTGCGGTATTTATTTATAATTTAATTAAATATTTAATAATACGTAGCAAGATATTTAACCTGCAAACGTAGAAGAAAACTCGTAACTCGCCTAACACTTACAAACCCAAACCCATTTCGTTTTTGTATTTAGTAAATTAGAGTGTATATTAATTAAGTAAGTAAATTGTTAGCAAATTGTGAACAGTAGATCTTTCTTGCTACTTTATAATGCTATGTCAACATAAGTAGGGTTACAATCTAGTACAGAACTTATATAACTCTTATCAATGTAGCTGGATTGTTATCTGTTTTGTTGTTCATATAATTAATAAATAAATAAATAATAAATATTATTATAATTATAATTAATTAATAAATAATAGTTATTTGTTATGCAAGGCTGCAAAGTTGTTGTTTGACACGAGTACTTCTATTGAAGATATAACCACGAGGGAAGCGAGTGTTATAAAAATAGAATCTCGAGCGTAGCGAGGGTTTCAAGCCACAACTTTTCATGTCGCTATAGCGAGGAAAATGGTAGATGAAAGAAAAACAGTCGTCTACGAAAACAGTTGAACTTTAAAACGTATCTCAGTTTTTTTAATGAAAAGAAAAAGTTTATCTGCGGATGCGTTCTGAATTTACACCTCATCAATTTTTATTCCTGCTTGTACTTTTATTTTGTGTAATTAAGTGATTGAAATTATTTTAGTTCTTCGACGAATTAAAATAATTTAAAAAAACACAATTAGTTATTATAGTCAATTTAATGTGAACAATAATATAATAATAAGAACAAAATATACCAACGGACTTATATTACATTAGTAAGTAATGTACGACAATCGGCAGATAAAGTTAGATGCACCACAGTCCATCGTCAAGTTCGAATTGGAAGTTCGTGCAGAAAAGGCTTTTGTGCGCAGATTTCTAATGAGAAAGAAAGCCTTTCCGAGCTAATGAGATGAAAATAAATTTATAAAAAAACCTTACTTAATCCAACATCAAATTGTATTTTTTAGCTGCCACTCTTCTCTGGCCCCGGTCAAGTATCAGCACCATCGTTCGCGGGCGGAGTCTCGTTCAGTCTCCTGAACCAGTTCTTGAAGGGCGACGTGCCCGACCCGCTGTCACTTTTACGCGCCTACAGGCCACGACGGCTGAATCCGTTTGATGAAATCCCCGCTGTCCGTAAGTGATACCATAAGAAGCACAAACCGAGTACCATAGAGATCATTGAATTAATGAATGAAATATTCTTTATTGCACATTAAAATTACAATGACAACACATAACAGTAATGTAAGTATCACAGAGTAAGCCAATGTAGAACAGGCGGCCTTATTGCTAAGTAGCAATCAACCTAAAAGTAAAAATCAAAGGCAACCTTAGGATAGAAATATAAGAGTTGGAAAGGGGGTGCAACCAAAGAATATCTTGTAATGAAAGCGTTTTAAATAATTATACTGATAACTCATTGGTAACTCAAGACAATAAAATAAAATTGTTCTCTTGTAAGATTACCCTCTTTCATGATAATATTTGTGCGATGGCGCCAAAGATATACAATAAGTTGCCAAATCATATAGTTGATACAAACGACATTGTCAATTTTAAAAAGCGTTATATAGTTGATTTGTTTGTTATCACTAGAAATTAGAGAAGCTATCAGGAATTGCAGCGTGTCAAAAACAAATTAGTTACAAAAATAGCTATTTGGTGCTCGTCGCGACATCTGGTGTATGGGTGATGAAACAAAAACAATGGAAGTGCTTTAGGCCTCGATTACTATCAGAACCGATGTCACCAAAACCCACACAAACAAAATGTTATTGTACACAAAGAAATCTTGATAATGATTGATCATTCAGTTTCTAATGTAACAAATTCTGAATTGTTAATGTAATTTAAACTTTACCCGGTCGCTAATATCGTTGAAACTTCAATATCTTCATTGCAAGTTGCGACGTTTTGATTTTACATTGAAATTTTATTAAACGTGGTGCCATCTTGCCATCTCTTAAAATAAGACTTACCAATGACATGAATATTTTTAGCACAATAAGGCATGTTTCTGCGACTTTAGAGAATTTGCACGAAAGACTGACACAACCATACCATACAAAGCAAAAATGGCGGACTGAATTCAAGTAGGTCTTTCGCGACCTATAGTTGGCACGCGTCAGATGCTAACTAACTACTTCTACTTACTGTATTTATTTCTTCTTCTGTTGCTTACAGTCCGCGCCGTGGTGGTGAACGGCCAGCACATATTCACGTTCGACGGTCGCCACCTCACGTTCCCCGGCTCCTGCCGCTACGTGCTGGCCCATGACTTCGTCGATCGCAACTTCACTCTCGCCCTCCAGCTCGCCAACGGAGCCCCGAAATCTCTCATCCTGCAGGACAAGAGCGGAACCACCCTCGAACTCAAGGACAATGGACAGGTACGAACTTTGATCTAGATACTGAACTTCTCCTCTAGCAGCAGACCAGGTTCTTGTGCGAGAGTTCATCCAGGGATGTACTGCTACCGATTTCTACCTCAAACTGGGAGCTGGTTAAACTAACGTAGGACTTGTCTCAGGGCGCCACTAGCAATGCCCTTCAGGTCTTTGCGTTTTAAAGCTCAGAGTTGTTTTGCAACTGCTATAGGTTTGTGGATGGATATCAGTCGCACGACTTTTTGAATAGTACAATTGTTCTTCTGTCATCAGGTTGCGGTTAATGGCGCGTCTCATGGCTACCCAGCGATCGAGAAAGACGTGTTCGCGTTCAGGGAAACCGGCGGACGCGTTGGACTCGGCTCGCGCTATGGCTTGATGGTCTTCTGCAGAAACAAACTTGAAGTAAGTACACACATTTAATGTCAGGGACTCATATTCAAGACCCAGTAGAGTACCGTATCGAAGAAGCACCAAACTTCATATGTTTTTTAACACGTTCGTCGCCGTGGTGGGTCAAAATGACCGGCATCTCTTCTACCTCTTGGGGCTAAAAAAATTACCTTAATTTCAAATTGAATTTAAAAGCTGAACGCGTTAAGGATTTTACGGACTCTATATAATCGTAGATCAGGAGGGGTCTGACTAAGTCAGACCTTGTTCTCTTCGTTTTTT